GGCCCGGTGAGTGTGGCTCATAATACTTGTAAATAATCGACAAGTATTGGCGCCTTTTGAATCACACACGCGTGTAAATGACGTCAACGTGATTGATTGACGGCAGTCTATTGCAAAGTGCACGTCGCGATTTTTGTCTGGGGTGGCCGCGTAGCAATGCAAACGACGGTAATAGGAGGGTCATTAATTTCTTAATGAGTGAAAAGGGAGGGCTACAATAGTTTTTTAAAAAGTTTACTGTGAATCCCCCAGCCCTCCCTCCAATAAAAAAACATACCATAAAAAACATTTTTTCTCCTTAAAAATGCCTATTTGAAGAATGATAATCCCATAACCTCTTAGGATGATAAATTTCCTTTCCATACATACCCATTAGAAGTGATGTCCTTGTTGTACCAGCCAGTGATTTGAGATATTCAAACAAATATTTATACACATTTTGCTCTAGCCACCTCAGTGCTACATATATGCAGTCATAAAGGATGTGTTTAGGCTGCCTGTGGACCAATGAAACAAAAGGTCACTATCTTAGTATATTGATAAAAATACATGTGAAATTGTAAAAAAAAATAATTTCCTCATTAAATCTTTATCTTATCGATATACCGTGGTTTTGTCGCCTTCCAATGTCATTTAGATGTATTTTTAGCAAAGAATGTAAAAACAGTGATCATTGCAGACAATTTATTGAGGACATTTATTGACAATTCATTGGTTTAAAAGCCGAAATTCAAAAATGCATCGTGCATTATTCAATCAAAAATGATAAATAAAACAAACAAACTTTATTATAATGAATGAATATGTTATAATGTTAAAGAGATTACTTCATGGTTAGTGAGCGCTGCGCGTGTACTGAGATATTACAAGTAAAGATTTTTTCAACTTGGAGTTGAGAGAAAAAACTATTGAACCTAGAACAATGGGTTAAAATATAAATATCTCTTTCTAATAGTGATATAAGCTTGTAGGTATAAGGCTTCCTAAGTATAGTTATATAAAAATAATAATAACAATAATGATAATAATAATAATAATAATAATAATAATAATAATGATAGTAATAATAGTAATAATAGTTAATTTTCTGAAGCAAAGATTCAAGACGGAAAACAAATAATAAAAAATGAGAACAGCAAAAAGTATTTTTCATTCTGCCATTGTCAGGTATTTAACAACATTTGTTCCATTAACAAAATACTAGTTCTACCAATATTAATACAATATTAATTATCAAAACAAACAAGAAATGGCATGTGGCTTATGGTGAATAGGGTTTGTCATAATTTTTGAACCACTTTTCACTTATCGGATTTTGCTAACACTCATGCACAGTCACTCTGTCTCTATTTGTTTAAAGTCATTAATAAACATGATGTCAAATTTCAAATTAGAATCGCTACAGATTTAGAAAATAATAAATATAGAGTTTCTTAGGAATTTTACAGCTTGTCTCATTAGATATTCGCCCTATTCTCGTACCTAAAGCCTTCTCAGCTTTCTAACGGTCTGAGGGTCTGAGCACAAGAACGTTTTTCGCCAATGCTCGCGATTCAACCACATTTTGTTACGTTATGTTATTAAGTCCCCGTCCACACGTATCCGGAAATTTTTGTATCCGCAAATTATTTTTGCGGATACGAAAATGTTTGCGTCCACATGCATCGTATTCGAATCGTTTTCACCGTCCACACGTATCCGTTTTCGTAAAATTTGAGGATACGGACACAAAAATTTGCGGACACGTGTGGACGCAACCCCTATCAGCAAAAAATAAAAGCGGATACAAAAATTTCCGGATACGTGTGGACGGGGCCTAAAAATGTAGGTCGTTTTTCCTTTCTCTCTTTAAAGAAAGAAAATGAACACAAAAATTAGCAACCATAAAATATTAGAAGAAACGAATCTTTGAAATTTTATTTTTCGCATCCTTGTGTAAACAAGCAAAAACAAAAAATCCCTAAAATCCAAAACATTTTGAGCTTTGTTTTGACTTTAAAAACTGGACATCATTTTTTATTTAATCTTAAAATTGGGAAATATCGAGATCAAATTTGATAAACATTTACGATAAACCATATATTAGGGCCCGTTTTTCGTTTTGTTTCAATTTTTTTATATGAAAGTGATCTTCCATCTTTTATAATTTCAAGTCTGAGTGATCATATTCCAACCTTTTTAAGGCAGACTCTATACCAAGATAGAGTTACAATAACAGGTAAGAATAAGCGAATTTCACCTCGAAATAAATTATTTTTAAAAAGTCGGTAAGGCCTTTTTACGCTTTTGAAATTAGCATGTGTCATTTTCAACCAGTCATTATTTCCCAAATGAAAATTATTTCATTAGTAAAACTCTGGTGTATACATCGTTTTCTAGCAAAATAACTTGAAATAACATATCAGCACATGTTCGATTCATAAGTAGGTTTATGTAATTTTGACGGGGTGAAAAAACAACTCTCTCTCTCTCTCTCTCTCTCTCTCTCGATCCCTCAAAATGTTTCGATCTTTGTTTAATAGTGATTCAAAAATATTAAATAATCATTTTAAGACCACAAGCCAGCATTTTTTTTTTTCTTAAACATGGAAAATTTATCCAAAATCGTCAAGTAATATTATAAGGGAACCTGACCGTTTGTGTTCTACATCTGTTAATATTTTATAATAGCTCTTAACGATTCATTAACCTCAGAAGCATCAGTAGATGTAGTGCTGTAGATTCGATTATATCATTAGTAAGTAATTGCCGAAAGGTAGAAAAGTCTTATATCATTTTATTCCTATATCGATAAATATATTGGTGATCCACATGTTTGTACCGTCAATGAAGTACCACACGACTAAAGTCTCGCAATCAAGTTCTATTCCTTACTTGAAACTTCTGTTTGTTGATTTTTTAAGCGACCTAAAACGTTCCATACTAAAGGTATCGGGGAAAGAAATCCAATTATGGCAATAACTTCTCTTGAGTTTTTATGATCCCAATCGTCCCTAAAATTCTAGGTATATTGATATCAGAGGGACAAAATAGGGTATAGATTATTGCGGCACCACTCCCCACTCCCCTAAGCCCTTCCTTGCCGTGTCAGGATTTTAGCTGTCTGTTTGTTTGATTATTGAATCAGTATGACGCATGACGAGTTGCGTGACCGTCCCACACCTGTATGTAAAGACAAACACAGGTGTTGTCTCTTATCTTTGTCCTGCTATGTTAAATGAAATAAATAGCCTTTTAAGATTATTAGGACTAAATAAATAGCCGATATTTATTACGTTTTTACCACAAAGAGTCATCTGACATAACATAACATACGGCTCTCTAGCTCTGAAGGGCCTGGCGAAAAAAAACTTCCTAGTATCGAAGAGAACAACAAATCGAACAAACTCAGCTCACATTATAGGCTTCGCCTTGTTTAAAAAGTATTAAAAAATACCGGCGTCCGGGTTACTTTTTTAAAGATGAACCTTAACATTTGATGGAGCCGAAAACTTTTGTTTTAAGAATACTTTTTATAGATTGAAGGATGTGCCAAATAACAAACATTGTAGGTTTGAAGAGGTTTGAACATTGATGCGTGATGTTTTACAAGCAGGTACAGACTGGTATTACTATTACGTCACAGTGAGATTACCTGAATTGGAGGTACGAGCACACGCGTTTTGGCGCGAAACTTCCCACCCAATCCACAGGTAGCCCAATGAAATAGAATTTTTTTTTTATTCATTCATTTCTAAGTTTCGAATTCAAAGAAAAGTGAGAAGTGCACCAACATTCTTTTGAATTTTCAGATCTCTTTGTTTTCAGTGTGTGAAATTTTTTTACAAAAAGTACAAAAATAAAATAAAGCTATTTAGAATTTAGAAACTTGCAAAGATAATTTTTAATTTGCATCCTGTTGCAATATTCAATGAAAATTTGTTTGGACATTATACATTTCCTATTCTATGAGTTGTTTTTTTTCCAAAACTGGGTTTTCTGTGTTTTACAGAAGGGCTACTATTCACAGCTAAAATTTAAATGCTGAGCTTACCATCAAAAATTCTTTTCCTTAATTTTGTGTTGGGCTTTCTGTGTTTAACACAGGGTTCCCAGTCACAACTATGATTCCATATCATTAATTCCTAATTTTTGTCCTATTGCCATCAACAGTTTGTTTTGTTGGTCTACTTTTTCTTCTAGTACACGCAGCTTTGTTTTCTGTCTTTCGTATCGAAGTGCCTCCTGGTTTCCCTTAGCGTCATCACCGCCATCAGTTGATTTCAGTTTGCATAACTTTTCAATATATTCAGTATCAATGATACTAGTTCCCGCTAGAAGCATACTGAAAGACAAAATCACTGAAGTATATATACAGTGTTCGAGGACTGCTCTTGAAGAATCTGTCTCTGTGAGAATCGGATTGCAAGGAAATTAGCTGATGACCAAGTTGAAGGTGGAGTTGAATTTGAGTCGAGCTTGAATTGAGGTGGAGTTATTATTGAGATACAATATTTCAACAAAATCCACAATAAAAGGCTCAGGTTCAAACCTATTTCGAAGCCAACGCCGATTGAAAGCTTAATTCATACGTTTAAGTTGCCTTCAGTATCTGAGAGTTGCCTAAATCAGTTTAATTTCAAATTACAATTTACTAAACATTATAACAATTTATTTTCTGTTATGCCATATTTTGTTACAGAGATTGTGGAGAGTCTTTATTACATGTGATAATGGTTTTTTCTCCAAATCACTGATTTTTTAAAAAATCCTAAATGTGGACAAACTAAGTAGCACTTAAAGGAACTTGATGATCTTAATGGTTAATGTCAATCTTAATGTTTATATTGAGATAATATTATGGGTTTTCTTAAATAGTTCCATTTAATCTTATTTAATTGTTACCATGAACCTTAAAAAAGCTTGTAAATACCCAAAAATGGCACTAGAAAAATTAGGAAAATAAAGCCACAATTTAAAACATTGTTTGTAACATGCAAGAAGCTACTGTACAGCATAAGACTTAAGCAATGCTGTCAGCTGTAAATACTTTAATCCAACACATACAAGAAATTCCACTAACAATAAGGCACAGAGAAAGATGATATCAAAAGCCCTGAGATGATAAATGTATGACCCGCAGAAAAAAATGCAGATTATATATTTATCATGTTAAGTTCTTACTCTATCAAGCATTGGCCTAATATGGTATTACAACCAATCATAGGTGGGATAGAATGCAAAATGTATAATAATCAACACTCATTGAATGAAGTTGGGCATATCTTGATAATTTCAAATTGGGCCGAAATAGTAAATAATATGTTGAAAATGTAGTCATAAATAATTACTCATCTCTAAATGATAGTATGCCTCAAGATATGTTTGTTATAACGGATAGCTTTACTTCTAGTGCACAAGTTTGCAAAATGTAACCGTAAAAGACTGTAAAAGTTATAAGAACTTTAGTTTTTAGAAATAATTTTATATAAAAAAAGACAACTTTTTACTCACCCTGAAATATTGGGAACATTTGCTCGACTAAAATTCAAAAATTTTCCCCTTATTTTAGTCATTCTCTCCTTCCTTTTTCTTGCTTTTACCTTGGGGGAGTATCTATCAACCATTCTAAGCTGTATTGAGTGATTTTTGAGCTTTTTTCTCGTTAAAAAAAACTAATACAGATATAGTCTTTCTGCACAACTTTGTTTCTGTCAACGTTACCAACGTGCGAATGAGCCGCTGACCGGCAAAACACAGGTTCCCACACAGGAATCCCAATCTTACCTTATTAGACGAAGGGGTTGGAAATTTTCCGGTTTTTTTAAATATTATTTTAAAAAGCTTTTTATTTATTTTTTTCTTTTATTTATTTTTTTTGGCATGTTTATGATTTCTATGGCGAAAACCCGTTATTCTTATACATAGTTTTAGCATTAAGATAGGTTTTTTTCTTTGAATTACTCCTGCGATTATTCTTGATAGATTTTATCTGTATTAAGAGAGATGATTAATTTCCACAGAAAACTCAAACAGAAATTACTTGTTCTATGAAAGCAACTCAAGGCAACTCAAACATATGAACACTGGAGTGTGGAGCCTAAAAGGGTTGTTCCATAATTCTCACAGAGACAGTCTCTCACTAAAATTCAAATCTCAATTCAAATAAATGATAGGATTAAACTTGATATAAAATCCCTCCTTATATGATGGCAAATCTCATAAGCTTTGCGTCAGCGACGACATCGCAAAGCCGGAAAGGTGACGCATTTGCATCGCACACCATTCAAGGATCTCCCTTCTATTCTAATCCCCCCCCCCCCCCCCCCCCCTTCCTAAATCCTACTACTTATCAGCCCAGCCCATGCAGCATATAATGACCGTTCCCTAAAACCTTACCTCTTGAAGAATCTGTTGCTATTTGGATAAATAACCAGCTCGTCTCTATAAAGCATTCTCCTGAGTTTTCGAGGATATCTTTTTTGAGTGTCTTCTACAAATTTTGCTTGATCTTTTAGGCGCGAAAATGACGCAGTCTTTTGAATTGCGTCGATATCTCCCACAGCAAGACCGACCTTAGAGTAAAGAGAGGAACAGTTTGATTTGGTTTGACATTAAAGAAAAAATAAATTAAAAGAATAAGTGAAAATGCAAGAAAGTAAGAAATAATAAATGAAAAATGAAAGAGGGAGATAATAATAATATATAATATAATAATAATAATATCGAAAGAATCTCACCAATAAATTCATCAAGAGAACGGGAACGATCAACATAAACAAGTAGAAAAGAGTGTAAGTAATGTCAGGCAGAGGTACGTAGGGTGCGCCAGTATTGGGGTTGGTTCTCTTGTTTACCACGTTATCTGACAACATGTCAGTATAATCTAACTCTCCTATCATCATCACGCTTGTCCTGACGAATGACAGTGGTACTGAACTGAAATTATCCTGAGAAAGAAAAATACAATACAAAGATTTATCATCATCATCATTACTACCGATCACGAGACCATGATTAGAATCATCAATGTCTTCATAATCATTGTCATCCATCATTATCACCAACATCATCATCATTATTACTATCACCACCACCATCATCATTGTTAACATCAACTAATACCATCATTATCATCAGCATCAGCATCATTACCTAAATAATCATCTTCGACATCATCCTCATCATCACATCACCATCATCATTATCATCATCAATTACACCAACGACATCATCATCAACATCATCACCCTCATCATCCCCTTTATCATCACTATTATTATTACCATCATCATTATCAACACTATTATCATCACCATCATCATCATTATCATCATCACTACCATCATCATCATCATCATCCACTACTATCATCACACTCACTGTTATCAGTAAGCGTCTACCTATCGTATTGTTTGTACTATAATGAAATCCCTAAGACTGCATGATGACTGCATGCATGCACATGACGATTGCATGACTGCATGACTGACTGCCTATAATTGGATATATAGTCACTTATGACTGAGAAGCACTTACTAACCTGCTCTTTCATCAGAACATAGAATATGACAGCAGACCCAAAAATGACCACGATTAACACAACCAAGACGTTTAAGAAAGTGATCAAAACCTCGAAGTACATAGAAACATAGATGCCTGAATTACCAATACGCCGAATATACAGCAATAAATCCGTGTAACACAAGAACAGTGCTACAACTCCTGCGTTCCACTGTACCGCGGGTGAGTAGTACATAGGTTTGGATGCTAAGTATGGTGCGATGTAAATTAGCGTCGTAGTGTAGAGAAACACTTCGATGAGATTGCTGGATTCCCTTAGGTAGGACAATCTGAGCATTACCAATTGGTAAAACTCTTTGAGAAGCTGTACGCAAAGAAAAAATGCTATTACAATTGCAAGTGACATTGTAGAGCTGGATGGATAAACGTCGAGATGGTCTTTCTCTGCAGAAGAAGCGTTGACGGTCGAAGGAGAGAACAACGACAACCTTCCTCGTTCTTCAATAATGAAATACGAAAACAGGATTGTAAAGAGAAGGTAAACCGCAAAGTTCAAATAGTACAAGACTTTCCCGAAGGCGAACCATTTGTAGCGGAGGAGAGCCTGGGTAACAGGGTGGTTAAGTAGTTCTTCGCGATTATATCTGACCATAGTCGCAGGGCCATCAAATGGCTCTCCGCGGAGACTCAGCTCATCATCTGGGCCTGGATCAAGAAGAACGAGGTCGAACTTGATGGAATGTTGAGGGTGAGTGGAAGGGAAGTCAGACACTTCTAAACACTGGTTCAGGGCTATTTCAGCGACACTTGGTAGGAACTCGATTAGTCTTTTCATTGGTCGATGACCGTCAGGACCTTGGATTCTTAGCATCTCCATCCATCTATACAAATATTAAACAAGAATGAATGAAATGAAAGAGAGTTAACCAGTGTCATTTTGATGGAGCGCACTTTGTCTAATATGTTTAAAAGGATCGGACTTGAAATAAGAAGGAGGAAAGGAAGAAAGGAGGGAAAGAAGGAAAGGGAGGAAAGGAGGGAGGGAGGAAGGAAGGGAGGGAGGGAGAGAGAGAGGGAGAGATAGAGAGGAAAGGCGGAAGTAAGAAGGCGAATGGAATAGGGAAATGCATGAGTAGCAAATGCACTAACGAGCTAACAAAGAACCGAAGCATGCAAATAAGCAAACAAGCATACAAGCTTTACGAGAAAACAAGCAAGCAAGCTTTACGAGCAAACAAGAAAACATGCTTTACGAGCAAACAATCAAACATGCTTTAAGAGCAAACAAGCAAACGAGCTTTACGAGCAAACAAGCAAGCAAGGAAGCAAACTGACAAGTAAGCAAGCAAACAAGCAGGCAAACAGAAAATTTAGCACAGGACCAAGCATTAAATATTACCTTGGATGTTGAACAAGGGCAGCTGCAACATCCTCCAACTCCCAATCAACAGCCACATCAAGGCAGGTCTTGCCTTCTTTGTTCCTAACTGTCACATCAGCATTCGCATCAAGAAGCTCCTTCATAATATCAACCGCACCCTTCCTGCAAGCCAGATGAAGTGCTGAATTCTCGTCGATATCGAGCAACTCTAAGATGCGAGTGTCTGGATTGGCCAAGAGAGCTTTGACGCAGTTTAACTTTCGTGATTCAGCGGCCACATGTAGTGGGGTACGTCTATTAAGATCTCGTATAGTTGGCATGGCGCACAAGTCTAGGAGAACTGCACAAGTTTTCCTGTTATGAAATACAAATTAGTTTTCTTGTTCAGATCTCTGGGATAGTAAGAGAATTAGAACACGAGAAAAGTGCTGAAAGCCGAAGCAAAGAATCTACGTTGAAATCTTTCATTTTCTCGGATTTGTTGGAACAGAACACGACTAAGATGGCAGAGGAGAAAGAAAACAACCCTAAAATCTCTACCCTCTACATACCCTCCCCCCCGAAAAAAAGTGAAAAAGATATGACTGAAGACCTCTGATACAGACTGTAATGCCAGTTATAAATAAAGGCGATAATCCTATACCTAAAGCCTCCTTGGACAGCACAATGTAGCGGCGTCCTTCCACGTATATCTCTTTCATTGATGGATTTAGGCGACATGCGAGCCAACAGATCCGTAGCTTCTACGCAGCCAAATGAAGCTGCGATGTGAAGGGGCGTTGCTTCATCGGCGTCACGTGCTCGTAAATAGGAACCGTTTCTAAGCAACAAGCTTATTATCTGTGGAAGTATGAATAACACATCGATAATTAAATATTCCTTGTTGGGAAGAAATTAGGTTTATCGCTTATCACCACCCAAGTACAGCATGGCGCAGCTCAACGGCTTTGAAGTGAAAGTAATGTGACGGTGCCTCTGGTACCTATACAGCCCATGAATGACCCAGGAGAACAGCTCTAACAGTTTGTAATAGCTATAGGGTTGGTTTGAGAGGAAGCAGGAAAGCTGGCTGGAGGTCAGGACAAAACCCCTTCCCGAGACAAATAGATAACCAACCAACTTAGCTAGCCTTACACTGAGCGACTGGAAATCGGAACCCCGTAAAGCAGAGGTGAGAGGCGAACTTTTTACCACCGCACCATTTTAACTTCCCCAACCCAGTCCCATTTTAGACCGACTTAACAAGATTTTTCCACATTTGATACCAAGTTCACGAATCAAACTTGAGACCCCAGAGATGATTAGCGAGTGAATTGCTCCTACAAATGATTTGTAAGAACAGCAAAGAATGTACATAAACAAGTCCATTTACCTTCATGTTTCCGGAGGCGGCCGCATAATGAAGTGGTGTTTGAAGGCCACCGTCCTTCATTTCGAGCAATGTACCATCATCTTTCTCAATCAACATCTCAAGAACATTCAAGGCATTGAACTTGATAGCATAATGAAAACATGTTCTCAACCGCATATCTGTTGCTTTGATATTTGCTCCTCCTTCGAGAAGAGCAGCGGCGGCTTGTTTGTTGCCTTGTTTAACGGAAAATAAAAAGGCAGTCAAACCAGAAATATTCAAAGCATCAACCTTGGCACCTTTGTCCAGTAAGAACTTGAGGGCAGAAGCCTGGTTACTTGCAGCTGCCCTGTTAGAAAGAAATGGCCAAACAGGTGAAGAATATCTGCATGATAAGCAATATTAACAAAGTATAGCCATCGCCATCATTACAATCCACAACAACGTCAAAATCACCTAAAGCATCATCATTATTATCGATCAACACCATCACTATCATCATCACCAATACCCATTTCAAGGACTACCATCGCCATCGTCATTACTTTCGCCACCAAGAACAATCCCCATTATTATTACCAACGATCAACACCATGACTATCACCATCACCGTCACTCGCACTTATCCCCAAAACTACCAACAGACAGACAAGAGTAGCAATATTTCCTAAGAGACGTTTTTTAGTTCGTATGTACTGGCAACCATAAAACTAGACTTCCTGAATCTTCCTTGACAGTTGTAAATTTGATAGAGGAATTAAAGCCACAAAAACCAGAAAGTAGAGACAGAGTGCTACAGACATAAACGCTTACCCATGCAAAGGAGTCATGTATGAACTATCAAGCGCTTCAATCTTTGCACCGTAAGACAACAGGTACTCCATAACAGCAGTATTACCACCAATCGCTGCAACGTGAAGAGCCGTGATTTTAGAACTCGTTTTCTGGATGAGGGGATCGGCGCCATTTTGGAGAAGTTCTTTAACTACTTCGTCGTGGCCACCATAGGAAGCTAAAATAAGAGCGGTGTTTCCTTCATAGTCGGTTTTGTCGATGAAGTCTTTGATGTCAGGGACTTGTTTTGAAGCTGAAAGTAAGTTTTTTTATAGGACTTATTAATTATTTAACATTTGTGAAGAAAACTTGGTATATAACAGTTTGGGAGAGTAGAACACCAGAGAAAAAGTGAATGAAGGGAGAAAGAAAGGTAGAGAAAAAGAGAGATAGGAAGAAAGAGAAGGAATGATGGATGGGTGGATTGATTGATTGAGTGAGTGAGTGTGTGTGTGTGTGAATGATTGATTGATTGATTCATTGATTCATTGATTGAAGCAAGCAAGCAAGCAAGCAAGCAAGCAAGCAAGCAAGCAAGCAAGCAAGCAACTAAAACCATGCC